TGTCCTCTTGATCATGGAGGCCAAGGAGACCCCACCAGATGGACTTGAACCAGTGTCCAGTCTACAAAGAGGAGGGTCAACACAGAGGAATCATTCCCTCCCTGCTTCCAAGCAAAGCCAACCATGGTCGAGAGGTAGGACCATAGGTCGAGAGGTAGGACCATAACTGGTAAAAGAAAGGAGCCAGGGGTGCCTCCCAAGCCCACGTGACCTCTGAGGAACAGATCCTCAAATGACCTTAAGAGTACAAATAAATCAGTTTATCTGGACCAACAGTATGGCCTTAAACACTCAAAAGGAAAGTATAACCAAAGATTAAAGGGTCCAATATAATTTCTTAAGAGTCCATATGCATAGCTAAAGGTATATAACAAGCAACAATGCCAGACAGGCGATACCTTCTTTTGAGTTGTTGGCCAGGGTGGCCAAAGGGACTCCCAGATAGTAACCCAGCATAGAACTGGGAAAATGAACAGCAGACCCCAATCTTATCTAAAGGAATATTGACAACTGATCACTGCTAGATGAGGAACAGCTGACCCTCCTAAAACAAAGAACTCTAGGTAGGCTGACTAGATTCACCAGAAAGGCAAGTAGTGGGGAAGGGCAAGTAGCAGGGATATCAGAGTATAAGGGCTCTAGTCGGGGGAGGGAGGCTATGGGAGGGTGCCATTTGGGAAGTGGGTGTAGAGTCGAATAAGATGGTTTGGGATGTTCTGTGTGATATACACACACACAAAAAAAAAGTCAACAAATTTTTTTAAATGTATTATATTTGAGGTGGAAGCATGGAAATTTATGTCATGCTAATTAGTAGAGGTGATAAACATTACCATTGAAATCTACCCGATGACTTTATAGACATACACAGGGGCCATGGTTCCAAGTGCAACCGATTATAACTAGTAATCATCAGATACATACAGATTAGAGATGCACGTCCCAACATCTCAGTGTTAGTAGCAAAATCAATGAGTCTTTCTGCAAGGAACAATATATTCTAAAATGAAATGGAGATCTTTTTTAAAGGTTAAAAAACTCAGTCAATTTTATATCTTACAGGGCTTATACTGAGTTCAATATTGGATAACTGTATTAACTCAATTGTGAACCTAGAAGCTTGCACCCACTTGTGAAAGAGATGTGATCTTGCTCTGGAGTGTGTTACTGAATATGTTAAAGCTGTAGTGAAATGCTTCTTCTAATCATGTAGTTATTAAAAATTAAAAAAATAATGATTAAAAAAATAATTCTTCAAAGCACAAATATTTGCTCCTTAATAATTAGTAGATGTGAAAAACATTACCACTGAAATCTACCTGATGACTTTATATCTATGCTCAGATGCCAAGGAGCTCAGAAAGTAACCGACAGTGACTAGTAATAATCAGATATATAGAGATTAGAAACGCATGTGCAGCTTAGTGTCAATTTGAAAACG